TGGGGGCGGGGGGGGGGGGGGGGGGGGGGGGGGGGGCTTGTTCTTACCCGGTAGTGTAAGCAGCGAGCAGCCAATTCATTAGCAAGGCCGTGGTGGCGTCGACTTTGGCTTGTTGCGAGACAGGCACTCGTTTGTTCAGGGCGTGAAACAAGGAAGACAGTAAAGTTTCGAGCCTCGATACGCCCAGCGTGCTCGACGGTTCCAATGTGTTCAAACCGTTTTCACGGAACGCCTCGATTACATTCCAGATGTCGACGTTGTGTACTGGACAAAAAGAAAAAATAGTTGCACAATTGTTGTCAGCCGTCGTCGATTACAATAGGCGGCGAAAGTGAAATGTTCTACAGTTTTAACAAAAGAAAAGAAAATTAATTTCTTTTATCCGGATATTCTAGTTTTCAACCGTCGAAATCTGCCCTACATTTTTTTTAAAGCGTAAATAGATATTTTAGATAATAATATTTTTGATAATAATATAATAACATAATAATATATTATAACATAATAATATAGCATAACATAATAATATAGCATAACATAATAATATAGCATAACGATTTGATGGAGTTTGTAAAATTAACGAAGTTATAAATGTTTGAAATACGCGTACGAGAACAATTTTCGTGTTCCAGTTGATTGCCTGTCTTCAAAATTTGCAAAGATCTGACATCGAAAACATTTAAAATTCGTTGCTTTATCTTTCTCAATCGATTAAAGACGACAAGATATTTAAAAAGATCACAATAATATCAATTGTAAATTCTATTATTTTTTATTATATTGGATAATCAAAATTATAAGACTCGGAATAAAGCTGCACGCAACTGTAATTGCCGCGAGGGCTACGCCCCCTGACTACCGTCGCAACGCCTCGCTCCCCGCGTTGCTCCAATCGGCTCGCAGCACCTCAAGCGCGTACCGCGATGACTATACGTGGGCGCATTAGGGCGACGCTCGTGTCAATAAATTTCTACATCATCCATGAGGTATTATTTTGAACGCGGTTTTTTGTCAGTGATATTTCCTATAAGCCTATTGCACTGTGTCGCACGATAATTTATTACAAATGTATTTATAAAAATAAATCTCGTAAACAGTTTCTTATTTAATCGTTAAAATTTTAAATAACTGTTACTCTCGGTTCCAAAAAAGAAAACTCGGAACAGCGTAATACGTCGAGTAAATCTACGCAAAACAATTGCAACAAAATCGATGTAACGCATGTCAGTGGTTAAAGAAAACTTCATCGTACTCACAGTGTACCTTCTTCTGAATGAATCTTAGCTTGCAAGCGGTCCGATACGACGCAAATCGGATGCTGTCGAAATTTTGCTGCCGCATTTCTTGCAGAAGCTGCAACCGGCTCGCCTCTCCCGTGCTCCCATTTCCTGATCCCCCGGCACCATCCTCTGCCATTTTACCTGCACAAGCGAAACAACGTAGTATACAGTTCCTATACGGTTCTTCGGATCATTTGAAGCAACTTCTTCCTTTACAAGAATGTTCTCCGAGGCACCGTTAGCGAGTTATTAACGAAAAACGGCGACCAATAAGAATCGAGTACGGCTGACGCGAGGCAGCTCGGCCAATCGGCGCGCGAAGCCCATTGCCCGCTCATTGGCTCGGTCGCCTCGCGCCAGCCGAGCTCGCCTCTCATTGGTCACTGTTTTTCGTTAATAACTCGCTAACGGTGCCTCGGAGAACATTTTTGTAAAGGAAAAAGTTGCTTCAAATTACCTGAGGAACCCGCCACTTTCGGATCGCGAGACAATTTCGGGACACGCTGTATGTAGTCACTATCGCTTTCCATCGGCACGACGCGATGCTACGACTCTTGGAATAGTGCGAACGTAAATATTATTCTCCGACCGAGTGATCTAAGAGCCTGCAAGGCTACGCGTACGGACATCTCGCTCTGTTCGAACAGTTCCTCGAAGTTGCGTTTGCATAATGCAGTTCGCGTAGTTCGCGAACCAGTGGCGAGTATCGCGCGGAACGAAGGACGCGCGTTGATTAGTCATCGATGATCGTTAATTCTCTGTCGTCGGTATTTAAAACCAAGAACCAGCTTGCTTCCATCAGAGTCGGGCGTTATTCGAATTGTTTCGAATAAATATTTATCAAATATAATTATTCGAATGAATTGTTTTTAGTGGTTAAACTTTTTCTTCGGGGGTTTCTATCTTTTTTTTACTTTGAGTTGACGAATTTCCAGCATTTTCAGCGAGAAAACCGACGCCTTTTTAGTCGAAAAGGAAAAGGTCGCTTGAAATGACCTTGGGAAGTACCCTATTTCCCAGAAGTGCCATAATTTTGAGACTTTCCTTTAAAGCGAATAAAATCCAAATAAAATCCAAACAAAATTGTGCTCAAAATTGTTGCAACACTAATGCAAAGAAAGCTTCGAGGATAGATTGTTCGTTTGTTTCATATTAAATTTTAACTTGTAAAAATTGAAGATCCATGTACAGTGGCGTCAAAGAGTAAGAGATTCTCAACTTGATAATTTATTATGCAAGGCATGCTAGTTGAATAATTCACATAGCCTCGGAAGGAAGACTGCGATGATTTCTGAAGAAACTAGAAATATTATATTATAATAAATAGAAATATAATATTATAATATATTAAATATAAAATATTAAAATATAAATATAATATTATAATAAAATAATAATAATAATAATTGCGAGAACTCGGTGGAAGAGTACAGTATTTAGCAACGCGTTATAGCATGTCATCGTCGTAAAGTACGTTGTACCTTGGGACGTTCGAAGGAAACGTTCGTTCCCGCATATTTCAGGCGCGTACAGAACGTAGAAACAAATTGCGAGGGAAATTACGGTAAATCGTGAAAGTTCTCAACGAGCGCGCTTCACAATTTCAATAATCTGATGTAATTAGAAACAAGTTTCTTTCACCACCGAAACGCGTTTAATGATATACTCGAAATGAACAGCACTTAAGCACGCAAGAAAAATAACAGGGAAACTGAAGAGGGCAATGGGGAAGTGCAATTAAACTGCGGTTCGGCAGAGTCGTGGAGATACCGCATTCTTGGGGAAAACGAATGCGAAATGTAAACCGGAGAATATTCGATTATAAAGTGTGTATTCTTTCTTTCTTTTTTCTTTTTTAGAGCGATAGAACTTTTGACAGAGTTATCAGTCATATTTACTAAATCACATTTTGCTTTGACATTTCAGTTGAAGCTAATTTTTTAATTCAGTGGCAAATCGTTATGGAAAGACCGAATCTACAACGTTTACAAATTGTGAACATTTATCTCGTGAATTTTATTATACTAACTGTATTAACTGTAACTAAATTTTGAACAACATTTACTCGACTCGATGAGAAACCAGAAACGAGATAAAGAATTGTACGCACAGAAGAAAATATCGGTGCTGTAAGTGACAATGTGTGTCGGAGAACAGAGACAGAGTCAAGAGTTCTTCTCTCATAATTTTGTTTTATTTAATAAATGTCGAATAAAATTTTACTCGAAATATTTCTCGAATTAAATTTTATTCGTAATACGGACGTATTACGGACCCAAATCGTAAACGTGCGAGGAAGCAATTTTCGGACGCTTTCAACTTTCCATTCTAAGCTTCAAATTCTAATCTGCCGGGTACGCGACCGGGTCTGAAGGATGAAGATTGTAAAAGTGACGAAGTCCAGATCGTGGGCCTCGTCGAAGGGATGTAAAGGTGACGAAGTTCGGATCCTGGGCCTTGAAAACCCTTTAATAGGCTACCGCTTTCTCCGAAGTAATTTATGACAGTAGCTCACCCTTCGCTTTCAAGGGTGACGAATTTCCATCTCCTTCTATTTAACAATTCGTTAACTCGTTGACTGGGATGACCGTACATCCCTTACCGGTCGAGTCGAGTTTTTCAGGTATCCAAGCATTCCATTATCTAATCATTATATTATTTTGTTATGTTATCATAAAAGCTTGTATTGATGAGAGCTTGTATTTATATAAATTTATATAAAATTTATCGGCGCACGTTATGCATGAAGCTACGGTGAATGTCGAATAATTTTTGCTTACTCTCGCCTTCGACGAAGCAACAATGTGCTGACCCGAGCAATATCTTTCGCTTGCAGTTGAAATCGGCTGGTGAAAAAACGACCGCATTCTTCGGGTGTCAATTTAAAACGTAAACAAATAACAACGGTCTCTCTGTGATCGTTGCATTTGCGAAACTGAAAGAAGACAAGCGAAAATAAAACAACAATATTCGTACTCGCAAAAGGAACTTTTAAATTATTATACGTTATTACTTGTTGTTAAATCTGCTTAACGGTGTTACTGTTCGATAAATATAACATGGTGGTTCCGTCGAACAAACCAGAACCTTCCGCCGTCAGATGAATGGGGGAACGAGTTTTCCGATAAAAGAACCTCGATTAAATCTTATGGGTAATTGTTTGTTTAGGCAGTTGCGAATACGTGCGCTATTAACATCACCTGTAACATTTATGATCTTGAATTTTATGAAAAAGGAGGCAAATCGATTATGTTAAATTGTTGCTATTACCTCAGTTTATTAGGAATTGGTCACGCGGACAATCATAGAGGTCGCCGCCGATTTTAGCGCGAATGCAAATAGACGATGATTAGGCTAGGTTCGGCCGGTTGCGGTTCGTGCTAGGAGAGACAGGACCCGCCATCTGTGAGTGAACGCATCACTCAATTACACCAATGTCGCATAGGAGATCGTTTCTGAGCAGTGCGATCGCGTGGCGAGCGGCAGCCATCTTGCTCTCGCTGACCGTAACCGTATCTTTCTCTCTCTCTCTTTCTCTCTCATTCACTCACTCACTCTCTCGCGTTGGTAACAAGGAAACTGTATTATCGCTACTGTAAATTATCATATATTGTTATACGATTATTATTATTAACGAAGGTTATGTCAAGATTATATCAAACTGTATTATCGCTACTGTGAATTTGTCATGTATTGTTATACGATTATTATTGTTAACGAAGGTCTGAATTCGGGCAGAATCTGTCTGTCCAGTCAGAACCGTTACTGTTAATTCGTGCCATGGTACAACTGTTGTACCAGCGGCGGGTAAAGCGTGAAACTATGCGAACGAATATAATCTTCTGAACTATGTATATAGTTACATAAATGTCGTAGCAATCGGCGGGGGCTAGCATTTCTTGCCTCCTTCGTTATTGGGGCTACGAGTCAGTGTTCTCAGGTCTTCTGAGACTGCTCGAAGCATTCGCGGAATGTACTAGCTTGTATCATCGGGGATATCGCGTTTGCAGTGGATATATATATTCTGTTGCACGCCCGCCTCCCCCCTCCGGGGGACGACCGTTATCCTTCGAGTAGTTTGCATTCGCGATTCGGAAAAAAATCCTCATTTATTCCAAAAATATTTTCACTGACTTCTGCGCATTTTTTAATTCGTTTTTTTTTTATTCAAATCGCAGCCAATCTCGGCGCGACTATTCAAATCGCGACAAGCAATAATAATGTGTTGCTCGATCGGCTTAAGGTCGCGTGAAGGTCATTGGATTCGTCCTGATCTTAGCAACCGTGATATAATGATAGAAATACATATAATATACATATATATAATAATAAATATAATATAATTGTAATATAATATAATTGTAATTATATATATATAATATACATATAAATATCAATTATCTAGAAATCTCGGAAAATATGACCTTGAAAAAAGAAACGACTTCCACCGCAACACGTGTTCCTTCGAACCAAACAATTTGTTAAATAAGCATCTCCGCGTATCATTACTCATAACGGAGTAACGATCGCTTTGTAACAGAATTACCGAGACACCCGGTACATTGTAATATGCAGTGCAAAAGAATTATTTTCTCTGTTCTTTCTAGCTTCTTACTCGATCGCATAATCTTCGTTCTTTTCAGGCTTCCAACTTTGAATTAGCAGCTCTTATAAATTTGCATGCAGAGAATATGCAATGTAAACCTTTTCTTCTACAGTTTCTTTTTGCGCAAGACTGTACCGTGGACCGGTTACGAACAAAATATATTATACGAGGGGCAATAAAAATTCTTTCCTAGTGCATTGATTTTTGAAATGTACTTCCGACCAGCTTTCGATCAAATATTAATTGCAGCACTTAGAATTTCGACGCCATTTTTATATTATTTTTTTACGTTACATTATGAATGTTACATTGTTAAATAGTAACTATGTATTTCTTATAATATCTCATATTACATTGTAAGTAATGTTAAGACGAATTCAATGGCGCAAATGTATACCGGGTGATCCGTTCAACTGGACTAAATAGAAAAATAAAAAAATAAAAAAATAAATAGTGAAAAATCCACTGTCCAATTAACCAATTTGAATATATTTATAAATTCATTCTAATTGAATTACACGCGATTGCGACGCATTTGACTGGTATTCTAAAATCTTACGTCTATCTGAGCATGTACTTCTGTAACCCTCGTCCTCTTATCGAACAACAGTTTTGTTGTAAAAAAATATCTGCTTCATTCTGAACTCAACTCTCGTTTGAAACGTGTGTGGATACGTTATCTACCAACGTGAAACTAAGTTCTGTAAATATTGTTTCGCAGCTTGGGCTTGAAATTCAATGTTCCTCCAGCTCTTATCTTCAGAAAATATTGACAGCCTCGATTTGGTAAAGGGATATCTTGAATGGAAACTCCATTTACACGTTAATTTCCGTAAAACACGCACAAAATCGATAACAAAACTTGTTTAAAGACACAGGTTTTTTTTAAAATCATATTCGCCTACTCGCAAATAAAATTAACCCTTTTCGCCATTTTGCAAATGAAATTCACATACTTTCAATTATTTACAATGAAACGGTGAAAACCATCATTCATATTTATATATCTTTATATTATATATATATTATTATTATATTATCATATTATATATTATTACACACACACACACATATATATCATATTTATATTCATTCATATTAGTTATTCCGTGTTCCAATACAGGGTGTCCCAAAAGTTACTCGCAGTCGGTAAACAAGGAGTTCCTGAGTCCATTTGAAGCAACTTTTTCCTTAACGAAAATGCGATCCGCGGCTTCGTTCACGAGTTACTAACGAAAAACACTGACCAATGAGAGGCGGGCTCGCCGCTAGGCCGCTCGGCGGCCGAGCCAATCAGCGGAACTCGGCCTCGACCGCTCATTGGCTCGGCCGGCTCGCGTCAGCGAGGCGTGGGCGCCTCTCATTGGTCAACGTTTTCCGTCGATAACTCGTAAACGAAGCGACGAATTGCATTCGCGCTAAGGAAAAAGTTACTCGGAATGACTTCAGGAACCATCATTCCCGATTTCTAGTGACTTTTGGGACACCCCGCATATTTTCTGCGTGCTCGTGTACATACATCGTTTATCGTTCTATTCCAACCGCAATTTCTCGAAAAGGATGCGAGTGTGCGTTTCTCTAATTTGTTAACTACTTTCTAATTATTTTCCACAGAATCGTCGGATAGAAGCTCCAGAACGGGCGGGCGCCGTTCTGCGGGCACGTCCATTTGTTGCAGTTTTATCACGGGGAAACGTTCGCGAATAATCGATTCCAATTCATCAATTCCGTGCGGTGTAACAAAGAAATCGTAGAAACGAAGCCATCGACGACGGGAAGACAATTACTTTTATCGGTGCACGCGCGTCTGCCGACGACGAAACGACAGGGATTCGCGTCGTTAAATTAATGGAACGTGAAAACCACTCGGCGAAGAGGCAGCCCTTCATAATTCATAGAACGCTCGAGAAAAATCCCAGTCACGGAGACACAGTCAACGGAGTGGCTCGTCAACCGGAGCAATTAATGTTTCGATAGCTTCGGGGGTGAATCGCAATCGGACGACAAACAGAGACTTAGATTTGTTCGAGGAGGAGGACAAACAAACAGGGTTGGGAACGCGAACCTTGCGAGAGTTCGTCGACCCTTCGGCCGTTATTGTTTTATGCATAAAGACCGTTTCAGAAGGAGTAAGATAATTTCGGAGGATCGATACCGGGTGTCGTAATGGCGCCAGAAATATCTTATCCGATATAGGTATCATGTTATACAAACGTTTCCACTAATATCATTGTTAAATTTCGTACGAACGTAGATTTTTCGTAGATTTATTTAGAAAATTTTTTTTCTTTTCGTTAATTTAAGCGAACATTTCACTGATCAAGTGTGCACGATCTGTAATAATATATCTGTAATAAAGATAATCTATAATATATGTATATAATCTATGTAGTTTATACAACTAAATATATCTATAATATGTATAATCTATATAGTTTATACAACTAAATATATCTATAATATATATAATCTATATAGTTTATACAAATAAATATATCTATAATATATATAATAATAACATTTTATTCGTCGAATTTATTCGAAATATTATCCGCCGAAAATTAATGCGGAACACATTATTCGTGGAAGTAATGTGAAATATTATACTTAATACTTAATGGGAAATTCATTTGACTTTATTCATTGTTATTAGATTACAGATCAAAAATATATTGGCGTCGATATTAATAATAATTGTACGTTAAAAATTCGCGACGACGCGGTGCATAATTAGATAAGTATCGTCGTCTTGGTATCGTCCCGGGGAAAGTTGATAGTCCTCTTCTATTTCCTAACAACAAACAATGTCATTGAAAACTCAAATTAATTCGTAAATAATTCATATGTTGAAATTTGTCCGAAAAATACTTACCACCGTACGATTACGTCGTATATACTTACTCATCCGAGTCCTCCCTGCTCAAGATATACGATATTAACGACTGCACGAGATATTTAATATAAAGAGGCGCAGTTACGGTAAAACATGCCAATCCCTCGATGAGAGCACGTAACTCCTTGTTCCCCGGTTGAGTATACATTACACCTCGCTGTTCATCTTGCGGCTCATCTTGCGGCTCTTCTTCTGCCTCTTCTTGCGATTCACTCGTGTCTTCGACTTCATCGTCGTTTTTCTCTTCCGTCTCGCAGTCCAGCAAATACTGCATCACGTGAATGTCGGTGCATTCTTCTCCTCTGATCGCGCTCAGCATGACCGGCCAATCGGTTTCCAGATCTATCGCGTACGAAACGGAAGTGGCATCGTAATTAACAAAATTATACCATGCATTCTTAATATCGCCCCCCGTAACTTCCAACCAGGAATACGACAAGATGTCGATGCAGTTGCGCAACGTGTAATTGGTATAAAATCTGTTGATCCCTTCGTCATGTCTTAAAGCACGTTGCAACAGCTTGCGACGGAAAATTCGTTTCATTTTCTCCAGGATTCCATGGTCAAACGGTTGAAGAACAGACGCCGCAACGGTCGGCGCGTAGACAATTTGAAAATCGTTGTCGCGTGGCAGATCAATGTTATGAGCCTCCGAATTGTCCACCAACAGAATTACTTTTCCGGACGCTTCTTTCTCCGCCTGGTATCTTCTCACGGACGGCTTGAAATGGTTCTCGAACCAATCGTAGAACAATGTCTTGTCCATGCGCGCGTTCGGCTGCGATTTAAATATCACAGGCAACAAATGATCCTGTCTCAAGGCTCTCGGATTTCGGTACTTATAAATTACAATAGGCATGAGCTTGTGCGTGGCCAAAGCATTCGAACAGAGGCCGACTGTAATTCGATCTTTCATCTCTTCCTCCCTCGGCGCTCTCGTAGGGAGCGCCTTCCACAGAAGCCCGGTCTCGCCCATGCTGTAAACATTCTCCAAACCGATCCGTTCCATCTCGATTATTCTCTTAAAATCGAGTATAAACTCCGCCGCCGCGTCGCGATGTCCCTCCTCGTTCGTGCCCGACAAATGTATGCCGTGACGTCTCTTGAAGTCCGCGTACCAAGTACGACTTACTTCGCCCCTCAAGTTCGGCAACATGTTGTCCTTCAGTAGCGCCGCCTTATCGAGCAGCTCATCGTCGGTTACATTGGCGGAGATCGATCTTCTTTGCAGATACCACGCGTACAGATGTATGTCGATGCGTTCGTATTCCTCCGCCACCAGCAATCGTTGCCGCTTAAGCTCGAGCTCATCTGGAAAGCCGTGAATGCCGCTGCCATGTTTCAGTATCTCTTGGATTGTTCTCAGGTCCACGCCGTATTTAGTCTCGAGTTGCTTGTACGTGTATCCGTTGGTACGGCGGTCGTACAGCAGATCCGAGCGTTCCTGCATGCTCAACGCCGTCCCTTCGTTTCTTTGCGTCATGATGGTGATAACGATGATAATAACACTAGAGACACGTGCACGTGTTTAAGGTTATGTCGAGAGAACAATTCAAGAGGACAATTGTTAGTAACGATATTAATGGAGACGATTTACATATGAAATACGAATAATTACATGTACGGCTGATTATTAACATCGCCGATAACATCGTTTCGCACTGAAGATTTAAAATGATACTAGCAAATGATCACTTACGATACGATTCGGTTAAACTGCGGGACTACGAATCACGTGGCCAGTTGCGAGAACCGTCGATCCTCGAATTCAAGAACGTTTCCTTTTCTAGTCGCCCTTTATAGAGAATTCGTGGCCGAAGCGAGCGCCAATCAACGGCTGGCATTTTTCGCTATGGCGGAATTTCCGTTCCCTGGGTTTCATCTTTTGGGGCCCGACGGACCGCCAAGTGCGATCTTTACCTGATCCTCTACCTGCTTTTTGTAAGCTGTCTTATGTTTTCGTGGAATTTCCCGGGATAGAACTGTCGGGGAGAATTGACATTTACTTCGGCAATTGTTTCGTTGCTATAGCAACCAGCCCATTCGTTGTGCTTCGTGCGCCGAGTTTCGGGAATCTCGTTTCTAAACAGTGTAGTTCTTACTCCAAGATCTCTTAAAACTCTAAGGTTGGATGGGTAAATAGAGCAAACTGTTTGCTCGCGTTGTACGTCGAACGCGCATGCTCGCCGAGTGTCCGTCGGACGGAGACATCTGTCATACGAATAGCGTAACTTCGATGATACATTCTTTCGAACGACATACAGTAATGACTCCGTAACTGACGCACAGCGGTCATACGAAGCGGAGATACGATTATTGACGAGCGTTGCGGTTACTCGTTTTTATTTATCGTTGACAATTCGTAACTATAAGATATTATAATAATATTGTATTATATTATAATATTATTATATACCATTATCTGTAATATAGTTATATTTATTAATAGAAAAATATAGAAATAATATTGTATTATATTATGATATATCATTATCTGTAATATAGGTTTATTTATTAATACAAAAATATAGAAATATTATTTAAAGATATATGCAATAATTTCACCCTAATTCGCGCAGAGATCGCGCACAAGAATTGTCTCGATTGTGCTCGAAAACTCGGAAATGACTGTAAAAACAAAACACAAGGCTCGAATAATCGTATCTCCTTTTCAAAAATTGTCCATTTTTGTGGACAATCCAAGCGTCAGTTAGGGAGACATTACTGTACTCCGTTGTCTCGATGTTTGACGGACAACATGTTAATTCGAGGATGCGTATTTAAATACCCTTAATTTAAAAGATGTAATTGTAATCTAAATATAAGCTGCCAATCGGTCCTAAAGCCCGCCTTCGCAGAGGAATTAGGAAGCAGCTCGACGAAAAGAAATAATNTATAGAAATAATATTGTATTATATTATGATATATCATTATCTGTAATATAGGTTTATTTATTAATACAAAAATATAGAAATATTATTTAAAGATATATGCAATAATTTCACCCTAATTCGCGCAGAGATCGCGCACAAGAATTGTCTCGATTGTGCTCGAAAACTCGGAAATGACTGTAAAAACAAAACACAAGGCTCGAATAATCGTATCTCCTTTTCAAAAATTGTCCATTTTTGTGGACAATCCGAGCAGTACATACCTTCTTCGACATTGCCTTTAGTACTTCACATATGTATAGTTAAGAATCGGTTTTTCTAATGCTTTTTTTCGTATAATGAATAAATATGGTCTAAAAACTGTCGTGTTTGGTCTCATTTTAATTAGAAGAATCTGACCAATATATTAAAAAAGATTTTATGTATAAACAATTAGAAATAAAATAGTTAGGTCGTCGTTTTTGTTCTAGCGTTATAATGTTATTCAAAGTAATGTACAATGGCACACTGACCATTGCCGGCTTCCAGGTAGTTTCCCCTTCTCTCCCTTCCCTTTTCTCGGCACCTCCTTTTCACCTAATCCCTCCCTTTCTGGCGAGGTTTTGGCGACTATAACGGCGAGCCGCAAGGCTCGAAGTATTGGGTCTTACTATTTTCAAATCTGTCGGTTACAATTCCGACACCGCGGCGTCTTTTAGGATGAGAATACTGTACGTCCGGTCGGACTTATATCGGTTTCGGTTTCGATTCTTGAGAACCGATATTATATTTATAATATTTATATATATTGGTATAATTATATGTATTTATATATATATCTCGGTTCTATAATATTTATTTCTCGGTTCTAAATTTCAGTTATATCTGCACGTGTGTGTTGGCAAAATTCAATGTAGCATAAGAGATTGTACACTATTTTTCTGCGTGCTAGACACAACGTAGTCACAGCTTGTTTATAATAGTATAATATATATATTATAGTATATTATACTATATAATAGTATAATATCTAAATCAGGGGTTATTATATTATACAGTGACCAATCAGAGGCAAGCTCAGCTGGCGTGAGGCGATCGAGCCAATGAGCGGAACCGGGCTCCGTGCGCTCGTCCTGCGGAAAATTATTTAATAAAATATAATAATTATATATATATATTATATATATTTATAATATATTTATATTATTATTATATTTTATATTTTTGTATTGGGATTTATTCCCAATATTATTCGAATTCGATTAATTATTATTATTATTCGATATTCGAAGAACTGATTCGGATAAAATTTTGTGCGAAAAATTTATTCGAAATGCTGTTCGAATAAAATTTTATTCGAAGAATGCCCAACACCGCAACGTATATTCATATATATGTATATAGTGCACTTCCCTGAGGCCAAAGGAAATTGAAGATCCTTCGCAGAAGACGCGGCTGGAAAGAAATGTTTACAAAAGCATTTTTCAGGGCCGAGCGTCTCTCGCAGGGATCATTTTACCGAACGTTTACAGAACAGCGACGCGAAACGAAAACGAGCATCTCAAGTGGTGTTGCGCCGAGAACTTTTTTCCATAGTTTTAGCTAAGCGTTTTCTCATTGTTCTTGTCGCGTCGAACGATATCGAGGCTATCGATCACCTTAAGGAGGGGCTTATAATATTACTGACATCAATCTAGCGTGGGTGATTTAGAAATTAAGTAATATTCTGTCGGGGAAACGAAAAGGCGGTGCTTAAGTGATTACGTATTCTGTTATAAGAATATCAGCGAAAAGAGATTTATCGAAGCTCCGAAGAATACAATCCTCTTTTAGAAAAATTGAGGGGGCGGGGGGAGTGCCTAACATGAGTGCTTAATATTTTTAAAAATCATAATTTCTGATTAAAAACATTTCTGTTAAGGGTAGATGCACATTTAAAAATTAAAATATGTATTATTTTACACTCTATACTTATATACAGGGTGTCCCAAATATGTCTCACAATCCGGAAATGGCGGATTCCTCGGATCATTTGAAGCAACTTCTTCCTTTACAAAAATTTCCTCCGAGGCACCGCTAACGAGTTATTAACGAAAAACAGTGACCAATAAAAATCGAGTACGGCTGACGCGAGGCGGCCCGGCCAACCAGCGCGCGAAGGCCAGTTCCGCTCATTGGCTCGGTCGCCACGCGCCAGCCGAGCTCGCCTGTCATTGGTCACTGTTTTTCCGTTAATAACTCGTTAACGGTGCCTCGGAGAAAAATTTTGTAAAGGACAAAGTTGCTTCGAATGACCCGAGGAACCCGTCACTTTCGGATTACGAGACATTTTTGGGACATCCTGTACTGTGAAAGATTTTTTCCCTTTAATACTAGCTATGCGATATTTTTATTCCGATCATTATACAATAAGTGTAAAATAAAAAAAATGTGCTTCTAGAATCCTCTAATCACAAAACAAATTTCTGTCCAGGTTCCATCCTGTTAACTATCCTATAAAAAAATATACATTTGTAAAAATTTTCGTAGCCCAAATAATCGTACCGATGCAATATTGCCGTAAATGAACAATATCCTGCGAGCTTATTAAATAAAAGCATGCTGCATTCCCGTGGTCGTAAAACGTCATATATTTTTTCACTTTTTCACGTGAATAGGCGGTCTCTCTAGAAGCCGTTTCTACGAAAGTTTGAATGCAACAAAAAGTGTTCTTCATACGCTAAAGCGTTATCAAGCCAAGCGTTATAAAGGATTGTTCGCGGAGCTGCGAGGTCGTGCGCGAATGAGCGAGGGAAAGATTAGAAGATAAGTTGCAATGTAAATCAAGCCCACTTTTAAGATTCTATTGTGTTCTGTCGAGCACTCTCTCAGAAATCCCGCTTTACTTCGTCCTACCTCAGAACACAAAAGTGCAGAGGAGTACAAGGAAGCATAGAGAAAGGAGTGAGGACGTGCGAGAGAGAGAGAGAGAGAGAGAGAGAGAGAGAGAGAGGGAGAGAAGTGTAGAGTGTATTAGCCGACCTACATACGGCTAGTAAAGTTACGGAACAACTTTAAACTTAGTTGAATTCGAAACTTCATATTCGTAACTTCATTCACCGAAGCAGATTGCCAATAGAACTGTAACCAATGAAAGTGGTGCATCAGCCAAGACGCAACCATAACCCAGATTCGAATATTGAAAATTAAAACGATACTATATTTTTAGCCGTTACGTAGGCGATCAAAATTTACACGGTTTTATGGCAAACGGGCTCTGCCCAATATATTTTATTTTTCAATTTTAACCGTATAACAATTTCTTGGATATTACAACTGTGCTGTTTTAAACTGCTCCAGTGAAAAATATTCTCGACATACAATTTATTGATCTGATTCTTCAAGGTCAACACACGAATATAGCGTGTCCCAAAATTATGTTAAATCGAGGAACTGAGGGATTCCTGAGGTGATTTGAAGTAACTTTTTCCTTTACAAAGATTTTCTACGAGGCATCGTTTACGAGTTATCAACGAAAAACACTGACCAATCAGAGACGCGCTCGGTTGGCGATAGGCGACAAATACTTCAAAATTGAATCATACTTTGAAATAGACTTCAATCAATTAAATTTCCCTTCGAAATAACATTAATAGTAATATTGTCGTAGCCGTTGTATTGTTTTACGAAAAATAAAATTTGTTTGCGTCGATTTGAAAATTTCTCACTAACTTGCACTAAACGAAGAAAGAACAGTGTGTGAAATTTAAGTACAAAAAGAGCTTATATTACGCTCTAAACTGTGTTACATTTTTTCATGCATACGCAAGGTAACTGTTATCGCGAGGAATTCGATTGACCCGAATTTTCTCCTCATAATTGCCGCGTAAACAAGTTTAAAAATTGATTCAACGGATTCCGGAATGTCATCTGCATACAAATGAAAATTATTCCGCTTT